TATCACAGAAATGGAGATGGTTTATTACTTTCACGTGAAAAATGACCTTGAAACTGAGCTCAAAGTACGGGGAAAATTTTTTTTTTACCAAAGTTCAGGAGTAGCAAACACACCAACGCCAATAGCGTCAACTGGGGAGTCTAACATTTTTTTAAAGGCATGATATTATTTATACCATTTTTTAAAAAAATGCGTAGCCCGCTACCCGAAAATTTTTTTTTTTTTTGTATGAAAAAAAAATCAAAATAGAAACAATGAATATAAGAGGGGCCTAAGATGTGACTAATGAACGGGATATGTTTTTTAGGCCAAAAATTCTACCTTTTTTATTCTGGACCCTATTTTGAAATTTTGGGATCTTTTTTTTTTTTGCGTGAAATTGGAAATTGCCAATTTCTACCACTTTTTTTGGGGAGTTCAAATCGGTAAATTTGGGGGTTTGTTGTATCAAAGATAGATAAATGGAATTCTAAAAAATGCTATGATTTTTCAAATGGAAAAAAGGAAATTTGGGTAAAAACAGGGCTCAAGTCGGGGAAAAGCCGATACATATATGTCGCCAAGACCACTAACTTCGTGGTAGTGTAATTCCGTGAGTTTTCGACCAAATTTCGAACTTTTGGTGTCATTACCATCGGGAAAAGATTCTCTATCGTTTCATAAGAAAAAATTTTTTTTTTTTTTAATTTTGCGACATAGAATGACAGTTTCAGAAAGGGGCCTGCGACAGTCAAAGGGTTAAGGGTTAAGAGGCAGAAAACAGGTACTCAGAAGCACAACTTGAAGTTAAGAACAGATGAGCCATAGGGATATCAGAATATTTTTTCAGTCTCAGGCAGGTTGATTGGGTAGTGACCTCAACGAAGAAGTGGTGGAGGCAGACACCATACATAGTTTTGTAATAGGGCCCACAAGGCAGTGAATCTGACAAGCAGTAGGGTCAGGGGCAGGGCCAGGAGCTAAGATTTGACCTTTCCAATTACAGATAAATGAATACATATACAGTAAGGCCCCACTTTATGGCGTTTCACCTTACGGCATTCCGCTTATACGGCGATGTCAAATTATGACCAAAATTTGCAATACAGCAAGCGGTCTTTCAAATACGGCGCCCCCCACCTGGTTTGTTTACATTTTCCGTGACCACATCTATTATGTCAGGAAACTTTCCAAAATTTCAAGTGTTTTAAAGTTACTTCATATTTTATATGTACTCTGATAATTATACTTATGTGTACCTAAATATACACTGTGCTGGTGTGCAGGTACACATTAAAATCGCTAAATCTCTCTCCACTCATGACGCCAATACTACGTAATAATAATCACTCTTGGGCACACTAAATGTCTTATTTTACATCAATATAGGCATTTTTATTAATCCATCTATGATATTTTCCTCAAAATTATATATGAAACCCATTACATAGCATATAAACATGATACATACACTCACAGAATAAAAATTGATGTAAATATAAGATTTGTTTACAAAGCAGCTGTGTAGGTAGTGTCGGAAGAATTACGTTTTCTCTAGTCAAACTGGGGGATAACTGTAAAAAAATATTCTTTTCATATGCCTTTACTCTATATATAGCAATTCACGACCCTTGTGGGTTAGTGCTTTTTATTATTATAATAATAATATTATTATTATTATTAATATTAATATATATTATCTTCATTCACTATAAAAATGGTGTGTTGCTGTTTGTTTATTCTGAACTAACTTGTACACAATGTAAGAATATTTGTATTGTGAGGTAATTATTATAATAAAAAAATATTGAGGTAAATGTTTTACAAACGGACCATGAATGAACTAAAAGTAACACATATTAATACACATTTATTTGCCTGACCAAGTGATCGCCCACTACCTGTTCAGTTTGTGTTCTTACTTGTCTGAACTCTGTATCTTGTTTTCTCTCTAGTTGGCTCTCATGACGATGGCATCTAAGGTTAGCTGTGATAAAAAGAGAAGTCGTAAGCCTCTTGCTTTAAGTGCCAAGTTAGAGGATGATAGTGTTCCATTCTGATTTTATTCAATAAACACCCTGCCACTCACCTCTCACACATTAATTATAATATTTTAAGGTAAGTAATAAGTGTACTCTGTGTGTATCTTACTTTTTATTGTGTTTTTAATGCCTATTTCTATTGTTAACTTAATATAAGTTAGTGTAAACTTGTTGTCTGGCATTTATTGCATATTTTACATGTGCTCTGATAATAGCACTTGTGGACCTGTGTGGTAGCCGGCCGGAGGGACAACATTACATTTTCTCTGCTCAGCCATCAGAGAAAACGTGCATGAATCTGCGTTTGGCCCAGCCACTCCCCCACTCCGCTTTTGTTTACAATTTTCGGCATGAATTATTCATTACTTCTACCTTCGTTTATGATGGCATCTAAAGGTAGTTGGTAGAAATTATTAAATTCAGTGAACAAGGTATGTCGATGTTAATAATATGGCTCTGGCCCACAGTGTAGGTAGCTGGTAGGTGTAGCCCAGGTGGGCTACACCTACTGGCTACCTACACTGACTTCCTACAAATAAATACTACTCACCTCTCTTCCTATATTAAGACTACACATATTTTAAGGTAAATAATGAGTATACTGTATGTGTATTTTACCTCTCTGAGATGTTTTAAATATCATATATTAAGTATGAGACGGGGAGCCAGGGTTACCTGCACCTGACTTCCTACAAATAAGTACCACTCACCTCTCTCCCTACATTAAGATTAGAAATACTTTAAGATAAGTAATGAATTTACTGTGAATGTATTTTACTTTGTGTGTTTTTAATGCCTAGTTCTATTACTAACTTAATATAATTTAGTGTAAACTTGTTGTCTGGCATTTATATGCATTTATAAATGGAAAAAAATGGCGTTCTGCCTTCCGGCGATGTCTACTTTCCGGCGACAGCCTGGAACCTAACCTGCCATATAAGTGGGACCCTACTGTATGTGAATGTCAGGTGATACTTTGCTAATCTTTAATTTATCTACCCAGTCACTTCCCCTTGTAGTACTTTTCTTCATACTGCAAAGTAGCAGTGAGGGAGGTTGAGGGAGCATAGGTTGTTACACTGACTTGGTGTAATTACTACTTATTGCTTGATTGCATAATACCCATATCTAGAAGCCTACTGAGTGTAGGTGTTTTGCTAGAAGGGCAAATGGATTCATCAGAAATGGCTCCAATACACAAACAAAAATCTATATTCTATATGTCTTATTTACTCTTTAGAATTACCATGGAACCTCCATTTAACCCTTTCAAGGTCGAGAGGCTGTCTCCTAAACTTGTTCTCAGGGTCGAAAATTTTTCGGAAAAAAAATTTATTTTTCTTATGAAATGATAGAGAATCTTTTCCCGATCATAATGACACCAAAAGTATAAAATTTGATGGTTAGCGGTCTCACTGATGTTTACGCATCGGCGATTCCGCCTACTTTGAGCCCTATTTTTTGGCCAATTCCTGTGTACTAGTCGACAAAAATCATATTTAATTCGCTAGAACTCCATTTTTTCAATCGAATGAGTACAAGAAACCACCCATTTACTAATTTCAACTATCCAATGAAGTGGTTAGAAATTGGCAATTTTCCCAATTTCACACAAATTTCAAAAGATGCCAATTTCCAAATAGGGTACAGAATAAACAAGAAAGACATTCCTGGCACTAAAATAACAAGTTCTCTGTTCGTTAGTCACGTCCCCAGGCCCCTCTTATATTTCTTTTGCTTTCCACTTTGAATTTTTATTCTTACAAAGAAATAGAAGATTTACTGTTATGCAGACTACTGCATTAGTGTAGAAATAGCATAAATAATATCAGTGCACTTGTGAAAGAATATTAGACTCACCAGTTGACGTTTATTGGACGCTTGGCATGATTTGTTTACTTTTGAACTTTGGTAAAAATCGAACATTTCTGCTACTTTGAGCTCAATTTCAAGGTACTTTTCATTGTGAAACAAGTCAAAATCATCTCAATTTCTGTAATATGCCTTTCATTCTTTAAAATGAGACCAGGAAAAGTAGAATACAACCATAAATTCCATACGAAAATACAGTGCAACGTCGCTGTTTTAATCCAAAAACACGGTTGGATTTTTTTTTTCTCATTACGCACTGTGTGCTGCAGGATTTTTTTATACTGCGCACACTAACTACATAGACCCATTCTTTCATATGCAGGCCTGTCAGCTTGCTCTCGCTAGATCTGAAGGCACTAGAATTTAGGCGTACTAGTACGTCAATAACCCTGGTGTGTAAGCCGTACTAGTACGTCGAAAACCCTGAAAGGGTTAATTCGGTGTGTCATTTGTTGGCACCTATTTCACAAGGTTACTGAAATGTAAAGAACTTCTAATTCTGAAAGCTCCTCTCTCTGAGGTTTGAAAGAGGAAGGTTAGGAGGTCAACGATAGAACTTTTCTCTCCAATATTAGAGAAATGGCAGGGAAAGTAACTTCTACATACCCTCCTGTTGTTACTCCTAAGAACTATGATAATCTAGGGTTGAAGACCATGCCTTATGAATCCAGCTTGAAGGTAATTCATAATGGTGGTAGTCAAGCCCCATCTGTCACCGCCATACCTTTCGATGATTCTCCTTACCCTGTGACAGGGTATTAAATTTCTTATGTGCTCTTCTGTATAACTTGAAGCTCACACATAAGTAAACTAATATTTAGTATAAGCACTCCTTAATAAGTGCTTTTGTTTTAGCCCATTAATCAGCAGCTTATCATCCCATCCTAGAATATTCTTTCTAGTTTCCCATCTAATCAAATGTTACTTATGTCTACCTAATCGGTCATACTGATTCATTTAGCATAAATATGTTACAGCACTAGCAAACCTACCATAATTTTGTTACAATACAGTGAATTATGAGTAATAGTTAATTATAATATATACAGGTACAAAACTTTGTAGTCATACACCAAATATGGCTTGGAAGTTTTATATGTTGGTTACCTGTAGGAACTGTGTAGCTAAAGACTCAGCATGGGGAATGTCATTGAGTCTGGGAAATAGAGAGGCGAGTCTGCGTTGGCGATGAAGAACAAGACGGTGTGGCTTGTAGTTCGGCAACTGTGTGACTCCTGGCCACGTCTCTTCGGAAGGTGTTCCAACAACCTGCAAATAGTCAAAGTTGGCTATAATGTTTAATAAGTGTGGCTATAGTTTCAAATTGTTATTTATGCAGTACCAATAATTTACTGACTTCTGTTCGAAAGCACGAAGGTATCCAGGTTTACACTGTGCTCCTCTGTGTACACAGGTGTACCGAATAAGAGTAGAAATATACAGTATAAGATTTATCTGCCATCCTACAGGTTCAGGAGACTAAGAAAAGGCTAAAATATTTATTAAGCTTCCATTTCACACTTGCATCACAGCATGGTAGTACAGTAAACTCTTACGAGTAGTGAGATCATGGCTTGCATTTTCAACATTTTGCAATTTAAATTTACTTTTTCATTTCCTATAGTAGTGTTCCATGATGCAGTGGGGTGAAATTAGTGGTGGTATGCATTACCATTATGGAGAGTCCTTCCACCCATGGGCAAGGGAAGGCCTAGCATTACTGCTTGTTATAAACAAACTAATGAATCTGTCTGGACATGCAATATGTGATGGTTTCTCTGTGGTCATCAGTCTAATTTCCATAGTGTTATCACTCAGTCTTGTCTCTGGATATTAACTGTGGCACCCAAAAGCTATACCAGTAATTTTGGAGGTGCCAAGAAGACAATTATACATGAAGCTAATTTTTTCTAAAAGTACTGGTTTAAACACGGAGATTGTAAACATAACCCATGAATTTTTCAAACACTGAAGCCTTTGGATAGTTGGGTCTTCAACCTGCCTTTAAAGGGAGTTTCTTACAATATGATACCAGGCCCTCTTTCCTTCTATTTACACAGAATCGAATAACTAGAGCAATTTTCACATGCCTTCGTAGGGGCAAAGATTTGGCTACTTTATGATTTGTAATGTTTAGCGAAGCACGGCGATTTTAAAAATTTGAAAGCTTTCCTTTTAGATGGTGTTTTTTCCCTGCCTCTGGCGTGAAATGTGGGTGACAGTTGTTGTTACTTGTCAGGTATGTATTTTTATGTCACTAGCAGATGAAAAGACCCAGTGTTTTATGCTTGGGGTTTTGTCCACAGTTAATTTCTTCAGTGTTCCTTTTAAAGGGGGGGCCCCCTTGGGGTGAAGAGGTTTTTGGGTCTGGGAATTGGGACCTGTTGGTTCCCTTCTCGACCGAACCTAATTACCCCCAACCCCCCCCTTTCCCTTCCCACCTCCCCTTTTTTCCCTTTCCCCCTCCCCCTTTCCCCCCCCCCCCCCCTTTTTCCCCTTCCTCTTTTTGGGCCCTTTGGGGGTTTTTCCCCAGGCGCGCTTTTTCCTGGGGTGGGGGGGAAAGGGTGTGGGGGTCCATCCCATTCCGTTGGGGTTCTTGGGGGTGGCTATTTTCCCGTGGAATTTGGATCGCCTGGGATGCCCGATCCCTCTCCGGTACCCGAGAGTGGTTTGGGTTCTTTCGGCGCGGGGGTATTTTGGGGAACCCACCTTTCCATTCCGGGGGGGTGGTGGCCGAGGAGGTATGTTTTTGGGGCGGATATCCAGCCCCCCTCTCTTTGTCCACCGAGGTAGCTCGGCAGATGTGGGTTGCTATCCGGATTGCTGGTTTCCGGCATGAAGGGTAGGGTATGGCACGGTTCCATCTGACTGCGCACAGCATGCTGAGGTCCTTTGGGCGCGGGGGGAGATTTCCGGCCCTTCATTCCTCCTGGGAACTTTTCCCTCCTGCCCCCCCCCTTTTTTTTTTTTTTTTTTTTTATTTTTATTTTATTTTTTTTTTCTTTTTTTTTTTAAAAACAAAAAGCAAAAGGAGTAACCTAACCATGGAAACCCAAAACCCATCCCCCTTTCCCCCCAGGCTCCTTTTGATACCGCCCCCCCTTTTCTGCCCCGCCTTGTTTTTTGACCACCTTTGGACGCTCCTTGCCCTGTACCTCTTGCTGTGCTTTTTCCCCTCCCCTTTTTCAGGTGCCGGGGGACTTCGACGACTCCTTCGTTTGTCTGACCCCCGTCCCCTTTTGGACTTGTTCCGGCCTTCCCTCTACGGTACGAATTTTTTCGAATCCCCAAAGCCAGTTTCACGACGGACCAAACCCGGTCCACTCCAAAACCCCAAATGACAATCTCCTGATGATGCCCCTTCGTTCCCTTCCCTTTACTGGGGAAAAGACCGACACATCTGCACTTCCTCTCCACGCTCAGTTTCAGACCATACAATGGACTAAAATTCTTTTTTTAAAAGACTGACCCCCTTCTTCTGCCTTTTTCTGCCAAGTTTTGGAAAAGCGTCCGCCCATGTTGGTAAAATATTTCATTTCAGCCTCGGGGGGACGGCATCGTACTGCCCGAATCTCCCCAAAGCTCTGATCTTTCTCTCCTTTCGCAATCGATATACTCCTCTCACTATGAAAAAATCTTTTTCCCCCTTTTTCTTGTAGTGGTAGTATTCTGCCCCATCCCATAGTCCAGCGGGGAATTTCCAGTCATGTGGCATGACATTCTTGAACGCGGGAACCCAGATCCCCAATCCTAAAAGTAGACACTTATTCCCTTTTTCGGGGGGCCCGGGGCAGAGACGTTACCCTTGCAATGTGGCTCGTTTTAACTTTGACAGTGTGAACTCCCACCCTTGTTTTGTCGCGGGTCATCGGTTAAAGTTCGAAAGGTGATCCTACACCCGAAACAGTGAGAAACTTGCTGGATTTTGGTCCCCAGCAAAATTTTGCAGATCTGGGCCCGAACCCCAGTCTTGGTGCCACACTTTCAAATACTCTTGCAGTCAACCCCCATTTCCCTTTAAATTTGAATGAGGCCACCCTTTCATACTCTCGCCGTTCCCAAGGTCTACTTGAATGGCGTGAAATCCTTGCCTAAAAGAGGCAAAAGGTCCCCCTTTCTATGGCAGTTACTCATCTCCGCCTCCAAGGGAGACTACCCCCCTGTTTCTTATTCCATTTTCAAAAAGTCCCCCACTTCGGGGGCCCCCCTTCGCGCCTCCCTTTTTGTTACCCCCCCCCTAGCCATCGGGCATCTAATCCTTTTCTGTCCTTGGCCTGACGTCCTGACTACAACTAGCCTTTTTCACCTTCGCATCCTTTCCTCACAAGCCCCCTTATCGACAAAACCCCGTACGACACCCTTTTACCAATCACCCCTTACTTTTTAAAGCCCAAAAAAAACCCCTGTCAAATCTTTTTTTGCCCCTTCCTTCCCTTCTTCCACCCCACTTTCCTTTCAGCTCGTGCCGTTCTTTCCCCTCTCTTGGCTCTATTACAAGTGGAGTTCACCCTCTCCTCGTACTATGCCCCACCCCCCTCCCCTCCCAAGTTTTGCCTCTAATGTCCCTCCCACACTTCTTCTCCATCCCCTAACTCTTTTGTCCCCCCCCCTTTGGTACAGGGCCATTACTGCCAATCTAACCCCCCTCCTCCTTCTACCTCCCAAATGTTTTCTCCCATAATCTTGAATTCAGAAACACTTGAAGCCATTTCGAAAATATTGCGAGACAAACCCTTTAAAGACACTGATCCCCTCCTGTTCCTTTTTTTTCCCCTCCCTCCCCTCTCCACAGCCCATTTCGAACGCCCGTTCCCCTTCGCTGCTTGAAAGTCTTCCAATGCCCCCCCTGTTTTACTTTTTTAACCCCTTTAGTCCGTAGGGGCCCCTTTCCCCACGGATTCCTGGTATTTTTTTCATTGCCAATATGGCCTATTTACGTGGAATATCCGGGCCTCAGGGGTTTTTCGGGGGGGTAGCTTCATGTTGCTTTCAGGTTTTCCCCTGTTGGCCTTTCTTACAAAAAACCAAAAAATACACTCAGCTGTTTTCCAACCTATCTCGGCATAATTTATTGTTTTCTTCGGATCCCTTTCTCAGTGCGACCTTTAATTAAAGTGCCTTCTTCTATGCAAAATTCCGTACTGTCAACTATTTGTCCTACCCGCTGCATCCCATGCAGCCCGTATCCCCTTGAATAATGGTTTACAATAGTTCTTTTTAATTTTTCCTTCTCGGGGTTTTCTACCCAGATTTTGCCTTTCAGTTTCATCCTTTCCCCCACCACTTCTGTTTTTGGGTTTTTAACGCCCACCGTTTCCTTGGGGGGGTCTCTTTTTGACTCACGTGGCATCCAGTTGGTGGCTTTTCCGCCTCTCACCCCCTCTTGTTTTTAAAAACTGGGACTCCCCCCCCATTTTTTTATCCTCGTATCATACTCTCTTGCATCGATCTATCAGTCTGTCTTCCCCCACTGCAAAATAGACTTCACTGGGCTGTTCTACCGGGGGCTTTTTGCAGCGACATTTTTCCCCAAACATTTTACTTTTTCCTTCCATTCACCACCTTTCCGTACCCCCCCGTTGGCAATTGATCGGGCAAATTGGGACCTTTACTCGAAACTCCTGCTTTTAGTGAGGGTTTCCCCTTATCCTACATTTGAGCTCCTCACCTTTCTGACGTCAGTTTATACCCAGCTTTTTATTCTATACCCCAAACCTCAGGCAGGCATTCTCAGAAGTGCATCCTTGGAGTCTCCTGCTTGGCTCGTTTCAGTACGGGTTTTAAACGCGCTGCATGGGGCAGGACCGGTACAATAAACCGATGAGAGACTTTTTGATTTTAACAGAAGGTGCGATGCTCGCCGTGCATCTGTGACGCTAAAAACACTTGTGGCAAGACTATGTTTCCACCATCACCTTGCTTCCTCTATGGTCAGTCTGGAAAAAAAAAAGGGGGGAAATTGGTGGTGAAAACTCCCTGACCCGGCTCTGTTCTACGGGGGGCTGGTGTTGATTAGAAAACCCCCCTTTAGTTGCCCTTAAAAATTTGCACTCGTTGGCCATAAATTTTTGGGGGGCCCCTCTACCCCTGTTTTCTTTCCCAAAGTCTACCAGAGAGTTAGTACCCTTGGACTTTTCTTCTCTCAGAGAAGAACAGCTTGCCGATCATCGGCAGCTGGGCCTGACAACATTCATATTCGTATGTTACAACATTTACATCAGTCAGCCCTTGTAGTCCTCTTACACCTCTTCAATCTTATTTGGGCACAA